GCTAATGCGGTACCAATTTTTAAGAAAGGAGATAGATCACTTGCATCAAACTATCGGCCAATTAGCCTAATGTCTATTGTGGGGAAAGTTACTTGAATCGATAATTGCAAATACAATTCATCCTCGTCTTGAAAAACATAAATTAATAAACGAGTCGCAACATGGTTTTACAAATGGCCGTTCGTGTTTAACAAATTTGCTATCATTTTATTCCAGCATAGTTGAGGCAGTTGATAGTGGTAAGGATTGTGATATTGTGGACCTTGATTTTAGCAAAGCTTTTGATACAGTGCCACGTGAAAGACTGATTAAAAAGGTGGAGGCCCATGGTATTGGGGGTGCTATATTAAGCTGGATTAGGGCATGGCTATACCAAAGGAAACAGAGAGTTAGTATAAATGGGGTTAAGTCAGTGTTGGAAAATGTTGTAAGTTGATTGCCTCAAGGCTCTGTCCTGGGATCTCTGTTGTTTATATAAATAAAAATGTAAATGTTCGTTTGTTCAAAGTCGCAAATCTCCGAAAGTTCTTAACCGATTGCTTTGAAATTTTCAGATCATTTGATGTTACCAATTTTCTGATGATAACATCAAATCATTTGGGAATGCATCGGTCGAGGGAGTGGGGAATGGTGGGGAGGAAGAGGGGATGGGTGGGAGAACGAGGGGACGGGGGGAAAAGGGGAATGGTGGGGAGGACTGGTAGACAGGGGAAGGTTGCTGTGGCTCAGCAACAGCAATGCGTTGCTGAGCCACAGCAACGTGTGGCCGGGTACAGTTTGTAATAAATATAAATGTAGCTAAGCCAGAGAGAGGGACGAGTATCAATAGAAGGAAGAAGAAGAATCCCACTCATATACATGTCTAATCCTTGCTTGAAAGAATCGAGGGACCTCACCTCCACCAAGTCATGCAGCAACTGGTTCCATAAATCAACAACCCTGTTACCGAACCAGTATTTACCCAAGTCTTTCCTAAATCTCAACTTGTCCAATTTATGTCCATTGTTTCGTGTTCTGTCATGTGTTGATACTTTTAATACCCTATTAATATTCCCTTTGTTATGTCCATTCATCCACTTGTAAACTTCTATCATGTCACCCCTAACTCTTTGCCTTTCAAGTGAATGCAATTTAAGCTTTGTTAATCTTTCTTCATATGACTGGATTCTAATTTTGGGAATTACCTTTGTCATCCTACGCTGGACACGTTCAAGTGAATTTATACCCATTCTATAATATGGCGACCAAAACTGAACTGCATAATCTAAATGAGGCCTAACCAGAGCAAGATATAGCTTAAGAACCACACCAGGTGTCTTGTTACTAACGCTTCGATTAATAAATCCCAGTGTCCTATTTGCCCTACTATGAACATTTATGCATTGAGTGAACAAATTCACAAGGGCCGTGATGAGGGTTCGAACCTGCATCCGAGAGGATCCAAGACGCGCCTTAATAGACTGTGCCAGGATACGGAAAAGAATTGCAACCGGGAGTTCATCTGCCCTCACACGGCAGATGAACAAATTCTTGTGGATTTGTTAATTTGATGCATCATGCTGTTGTGATTTCTGTGTGTAATTTATGCATTGATTTTTTGGTTTTGAGTTTTTACTAATCATAACTCCCAGATATCTTTCGCAATCTCAACACCATCTAGCTCGTATCTAGTAACTCTATCATCACTACCTAGTCTCAAAACCTTACATTTGTCAGGATTAAACTGCATCTGCCAATCTTTTGACCATTTCAAAATCCTATTTAGATCGTCTTGAAATGATAGAGTCTTTTTCTGTGTTTATTTCCCTCCCGATTTTTATATCATCGGCAAATTTGCAAATGTTGCTGCTCAAACCTATATCTAAAAAATTTATATATATTATAAACAACAGAGGTCCCAGGACAGAGCCTTGAGGTACTCCACTTACAACATTTTCCCAGTCTGACTAAACCCCATTTATGCTAACTCTCTGTTTCCATTTGTATTGCCATGCCCTAATCCAACTTAATATAGCACCCCCAATACCATGAGCCTCTATCTTTTTAATCAGTTTTTCACGTGTCACTCTGTCTAAAGCTTTGCTAAAGTCAAGGTACACAACATCACAATCCTTACCACTATCAACTGCCTCAACTATGTAACACTGTAAAAGTGTTTGGGTTAGTTTATTTAAAAAATATATATAGAATATGAGTCACAGACAGGGATTTGGAGAGGCGCCAGTTGTCTGCCTGAGATCTCACACCTCAAAGCGTTAATGACCCCAAGTGACCTGAGGTCAGATCATGAGAATTTCACCTTGCTTCCGCTAAGCGTATAATTGGGGAACCTAGTAGCTAACTCCGCCCACAAATAGATAGCCTCCGGCACTACCAAGCCACTCCTTAAACGTCGGCATGTTTGAAGGCTACCCGGCTCCAATTATACGCTTAGCGGAAGCAAGGTGAAATTCTCATGATCTGACCTCAGGTCACTTGGGGTCATTAACGCTTTGAGGTGTGAGATCTCAGGCAGACAACTGGCGCCTCTCCAAATCCCTGTCTGTGACTCATATTCTATATATATTTTTTAAATAAACTAACCCAAACACTTTTACAGTGTTACAACTATGCTGGAATAAAATGATAGCAAATTTGTTAAACATGAACGGCCATTTGTAAAACCATGTTGTGAATCATTTATTAATTTATGTTTTTCAACATGAAGACGAATGGTATTTGCAATTATCGATTCAAATAACTTTCCCACAATAGATGTTAGGCTAACTGGCCGATAGTTTGAAGAAAGTGATCTATCTCCTTTCTTAAAATTGGTATCACATTAGCAATCTTCTGTGACTCTGGCACTGCCTGACTCTAATGATTTATTATATATGGTTGACAGTGGGTCACAAAGCTCCTCTTTGCATTCTTTAAGCACCCTGGCAAACACTTCATCCGGCCCTGGGGATTTGTTTGGTTTCAGTTTCACTATTTAATAACATCCTCCCTGGTAAATGTTAAACTAGTCAACCTGTCCTCGTCCCCACCCACATAGTGACAATGGGTGACTGTAGTGTGGCAGTGGGTGTGACAATGGGTGACTGTAGTGTGGCAATGGGTGACTGTAGTGTGGCAGTGTGTGTGGCAATGGGTGACTGTAGTGTGGCAGTGGGTGTGGCAATGGATGACTATGGTATGGGAGTGGGTGTGAAAAGGGTGACTATGGTGTGGCAATGGGTAACTATGGTGTGGCAATGGGTGACTATGGTGTGGGAGTGAGTGTGAAAATGGGTGACTATGGTGTGGGAGTGGGTGTGACAATGGGTGACTGTAGTGTGGCAGTGGGTGTGACAATGGGTGACTGTAGTGTGGCAGTGGGTGTGGCAATGGGTGACTGTAGTGTGGCAGTGTGTGTGGCAATGGGTGACTGTAGTGTGGCAATGGATGACTATGGTATGGGAGTGGGTGTGAAAAGGGTGACTATGGTGTGGCAATGGGTAACTATGGTGTGGCAATGGGTGACTATGGTGTGGGAGTGAGTGTGAAAATGGGTGACTATGGTGTGGGAGTGGGTGTGACAATGGGTGACTGTAGTGTGGCAGTGGGTGTGACAATGGGTGACTGTAGTGTGGCAGTGGGTGTGGCAATGGGTGACTATGGTGAGCAGTGGGTGTGACAATGGGTGACTGTAGTGTGGCAGTGGGTGTGACAATGGGTGACTGTAGTGTGGCAGTGGGTGTGACAATGGGTGACTGTAGTGTGGCAGTGGGTGTGACAATGGGTGACAGTAGTGTGGCAGTGGGTGTGACAATGGGTGACTGTAGTGTGGCAGTGGGTGTGGCAATGCCTGACTGTTGTGTGGCAGTGGGTGTGACAATGCCTGACTGTTGTGTGGCAGTGGGTGTGACAATGCCTGACTGTTGTGTGGCAGTGGGTGTGACAATGGGTGACTGTAGTGTGGCAGTGGGTGTGACAATGGGTGACTATAGTGTGGCAGTGAGTGTGGCAATGGGTGACTGTAGTGTGGCAGTGGGTGTGACAATGCCTGACTGTTGTGTGGCAGTGGGTGTGACAATGGGTGACTGTAGTGTGGCAGTGGGTGTGACAATGGGTGACTATAGTGTGGCAGTGAGTGTGGCAATGGGTGACTGTAGTGTGGCAGTGGGTGTGACAATGCCTGACTGTTGTGTGGCAGTGGGTGTGACAATGGGTGACTGTAGTGTGGCAGTGGGTGTGACAATGGGTGACTGTAGTGTGGCAGTGGGTGTGACAATGGGTGACTGTAGTGTGGCAGTGGGTGTGACAATGGGTGACTGTAGTGTGGCAGTGGGTGTGACAATGGGTGACTGTAGTGTGGCAGTGGGTGTGACAATGGGTGACTGTTGTGTGGCAGTGGGTGTGACAATGGGTGACTGTAGTGTGGCAGTGGGTGTGACAATGGGTGACTGAAGTGTGGCAGTGGGTGTGACAATGGGTGACTGTAGTGTGGCAGTGGGTGTGACAATGGGTGACTGTAGTGTGGCAGTGGGTGTGACAATGGGTGACTGTAGTGTGGCAGTGGGTGTGACAATGGGTGACTGTAGTGTGGCAGTGGGTGTGACAATGGGTGACTGTTGTGTGGCAGTGGGTGTGACAATGGGTGACTAGTGTGGCAGTGGGTGTGACAATGGGTGACTGTAGTGTGGCAGTGGGTGTGACAATGGGTGACTGTAGTGTGGCAGTGGGTGTGACAATGGGTGACTGTAGTGTGGCAGTGGGTGTGACAATGGGTGACTGTAGTGTGGCAGTGGGTGTGACAATGCCTGACTGTTGTGTGGCAATGGGTGACTGTAGTGTGGCAGTGGGTGTGACAATGGGTGACTGTAGTGTGGCAATGGGTGTGACAATGGGTGACTGTAGTGTGGCAGTGGGTGTGACAATGGGATACGAGAAAACGTGACCAGTTGGAGATAAGAGAAAACTAGTCAAGACTGAGAGAGAGGTAAAGTTGTAGTGAAAGTTGTGTAAGGTGGTCTTACCGGCAGCCAGGGCCCACGACGCCACCAACAGGAAGCTCAGCGCTCTCAACATCATCATCTGAAAGGAGAAAATATGTTATATAATGGCCATGATGAGAAACATGTTATATAACGGCGTCTTGGGCCATGATGAGAAACATATTATATAACGGCGTCTTGGGCCATGATGAGAAACATATTATATAACGGCGTCTTGGGCCATGATGAGAAACATGTTATATTACGGCGTCTTGGGCCATGATGAGAAACATGTTATATAACGGCGTCTTGGGCCATGATGAGAAACATGTTATATAACGGCGTCTTGGGCCATGATGAGAAACATGTCATATTACAGCGTCTTGGGCCATGATGAGAAACATGTTATATTACAGCGTCTTGGGCCATGATGAGAAACATGGTATATAACGGCGTCTTGGGCCATGATGAGAAACATGGTATATTACAGCGTCTTGGGCCATGATGAGAAACATGTCATATTACAGCGTCTTGGGCCATGATGAGAAACATGTCATATTACAGCGTCTTGGGCCATGATGAGAAACATGGTATATTACAGCGTCTTGGGCCATGATGAGAAACATGGTATATTACAACGTCTTGGGCCATGATGAGAAACATGTCATATTACAGCGTCTTGGGCCATGATGAGAAACATGTCATATTACAGCGTCTTGGGCCATGATGAGAAACATGTCATATTACAGCGTCTTGGGCCATGATGAGAAACATGTCATATTACGGCGTCTTGGGCCATGATGAGAAACATGTCATATTACAGCGTCTTGGGCCATGATGAGAAACATGTCATATTACAGCGTCTTGGGCCATGATGAGAAACATGTCATATTACAGCGTCTTGGGCCATGATGAGAAACATGGTATATAACGGCGTCTTGGGCCATGATGGGAAACATGTCATATTACGGCGTCTTGGGCCATGATGAGAAACATGTCATATTACGGCGTCTTGGGCCATGATGAGAAACATCTTATATTACGGCGTCTTGGCCCATGATGAGAAACATGTTATATTACTGCATCATGAGCTATATGAGAAAGATGATATATTACGCCGTCTTGGGTCATGATGAAAAAAATGTTATATTATGGAATCTTCGGCCATGATGAGAAACATGGTATATTACGGCTTCTTGAGCCATGATGAGAAACATGTTATATTACGGCGTCATGGCCCATGATGAGAAACATGTTACATTACGGCATCTTCGGTCGTGATGAGAAACATGTTATTTTATGTCGTCTTGCCCCATGATGAGAAACATGTTATATTACGGCGTCTTGGGCCATGATGAGAATCTGCTAGACAATATATTATGTTGTGGTTGAATATAACAAAGAGACATTTTCATCTTGGATTGTAATTTATGAATCCCACCATGAGTGTTCACCTGGAGAGTCCCCCCCCCCCAGAGTGTTCACCAGGAGAGTCCCCCTCCCAGAGTGTTCACCAGGAGAGTCCCCCTCCCAGAGTGTTCACCAGGAGAGTCCCCCTCCCAGAGTGTTCACCAGGAGAGTCCCCCTCCCAGAGTGTTCACCAGGAGAGTCCCCCTCCCAGAGTGTTCACCAGGAGAGTCCCCCTCCCAGAGTGTTCACCAGGAGAGTCCCCCTCCCAGAGTGTTCACCAGGAGAGTCCCCCTCCCAGAGTGTTCACCTGGAGAGTCCCCCTCCCAGAGTGTTCACCTGGAGAGTCCCCCTCCCAGAGTGTTCACCTGGAGAGTCCCCCTCCCAGAGTGTTCACCAGGAGAGTCTCCCTCCCAGAGTGTTCACCAGGAGAGTCCCCCTCCCAGAGTGTTCACCAGGAGAGTCCCCCTCCCAGTGTGTTCACCTGGAGAGACCCCCTCCCAGAGTGATCACCAGGAGAGTCCGCCTCCCAGAGTGTTCACCAGGAGAGTATCAGTCCCAGAGTGTTCACCAGGAGAGTCCCCCTTCCCAGAGTGTTCACCTGGAGATTCCCCCTCCCAGAGTGTTCACCTGGAGAGTCCCCCCCTCCCAGAGTGTTCACCTAGAGAGTCCCCATCCCAGAGTGTTCCCCTAGTGAGTCCTCCCCCCTGAGTGTTCACCTGGAGAGTCCTCCCCTGAGTGTTCACCTGGAGAGTCCTCCCCTGAGTGTTCACCTGGAGAGTCCCCCTCCCAGAGTGTTCACCTCACCTTCATCTCTTACCTGGTTGATACCTGGTTGATGGGGTTCTGGGAGTTCTTCTACTCCCCAAGCCCGGCCCGAGGCCAGGCTCGACTTGTGAGAGTTTGGTCCACCAGGCTGTTGCTTGGAGCGGCCCGCAGGCCCACATACCCACCACAGCCCGGTTGGTCCGGCACTCCTTGGAGGAATAAATCTAGTTTCCTCTTGAAAATGTCCACGGTTGTTCCGGCAATATTTCTTATGCTTGCTGGGAGGACGTTGAACAACCGCGGACCTCTGATGTTTATACAGTGTTCTCTGATTGTGCCTATGGCACCTCTGCTCTTCATTGGTTCTATTCTACATTTTCTTCCATGTCGTTCACTCCAGTACGTTGTTATTTTACTGTGTAGATTTGGTACTTGGCCCTCCAGTATCTTCCAGGTGTATATTATTTGATATCTCTCTCGTCTTCTTTCTAGTGAGTACATTTGGAGGGCTTTGAGACGATCCCAATAATTTAGGTGCTTTATTGCATCTATGCGTGCCGTTATTGCATCTTCCCATAGGTGTGGGAATGACTTACATTGAGAATGGTGCAGGAGAGCCTTTGAGAAACTTTTAATCCAAAAATCCAAACACAAAGGTTTTATAATATATGGTTTTTCTACAACTATTTTGTTCCTAATGTATTACAAATAGTTTTTACATGTTTATATATAAAATTTATGGTGTTTTTTGTAAAATTCACTAATATATTGTGAATGATAATTAATGGCTAAATGAAACCTTCAAAATACATTTAGTTATGCTATGATCAGAAAAAAGTAGTTTTCCAAATTTTCTAAAAATCGCTCTTTTTAACACAATTTGACTCCTTATGCATTCCACTAAACACTAATATCATGTTTAAATATAAAATTTATGTATTATTCCCTAAAATAATTGATATAAATTATAAAAGTGGCTGGAAAGTGGTGTGAAAGAATCTGAAAACGTTTTGTTGTCTTATATTGGCATGTTCTTATTAACTATGTCTCAAGTGCACAGTTTATCAAACAAGAAGATTAGCATTCGTCAAACCTTAAAATCTTATATGTTATCTTGCTGGTGCAAAATGGCAGAATCTTTAAGAACAGTATCTATATGACAAATGGTGTTTTCCCTAAGTCAAACAATGTAGGGTTTATTATTTTACACATATTTCTAATGACTCTTAGATGTTTACATTCTCTGAAGTATATTTGTCAAGGCTGTGTCCATCACTCTCACCACAGATTCTTAAACTCCTCTGCATGTTCAACTATAATTGTTTCAATTCTGAATCTCGATGGACATTTGTATCCAAAATGAAACCAATGTGGTTTCCTTCAGCGCCTTCAGCAGCCAGCACATTTCCTCATTCATTTCCACAGATTCCAACATGGTAGGGGATTCACAGAAATTTGGCTATTCATATTGTAATCTATTATATAAATGCATTTCCATATTATAAGACAAATACATAAGTTTATGATAAATTCGTTTTCTGTGATATAACATTGGTATGCTGTTTTTTTCTTTAAACCGCATACTGAACTAAATCACGAGAGTATATATTGTTTATATATAGAGTATATATATTGGGTGGTGGAGGGTAGTGTGGGGTGGTGGAGGGTCGTGTGGGGTGGTGGAGGGTAGTGTGGGGTGGTGGAGGCTCGTGTGGGGTGGTGGAGGGTCGTGTGGGGTGTTGGAGGGTCGTGTGGGGTGTTGGAGGGTAGTGTGGGGTGCTGGAGGGTCGTGGGTGGTGGTGGAGGGTAGTGTGGGGTGGTGGAGGGTAGTGTGGGGTGGTGGAGGGTAGTGTGGGGTGGTGGAGGTTCGTGTGGGGTGGTGGAGGGTAGTGTGGGGTGGTGGAGGGTAGTGTGGGGTGGTGGAGGGTCGTGTGGGGTGGTGGAGGGTCGTGTGGGGTGGTGGAGGGTCGTGTGGGGTGGTGGAGGGTAGTGTGGGGTGGTGGAGGGTAGTGTGGGGTGGTGGAGGGTCGTGTGGGGTGGTGGAGGGTAGTGTGGGGTGGTGGGGGGTGGTGGAGGGTCGTGTGGGGTGGTGGAGGGTCGTGTGGGGTGGTGGAGGTTCGTGTGGGGTGGTGGAGGTTCGTGTGGGGTGGTGGAGGGTCGTGTGGGGTGGTGGAGGGTCGTGTGGGGTGGTGGAGGGTCGTGTGGGGTGATGGAGGGACGTGTGGGGTGGTGGAGGGTCGTGTGGGGTGGTGGAGGGTCGTGTGGGGTGATGGAGGATCGTGTGGGGTGGTGGAGGGTCGTGTGGGGTGGTGGAGGGTCGTGTGGGGTGGTGGAGGGTCGTGTGGGGTGGTGGAGGGTCGTGTGGGGTGTTGGAGGGTCGTGTGGGGTGGTGGAGGGTCGTGTAGGGTGTTGGAGGGTCGTGTGGGGTGTTGCAGGGTCGTGTGGGGTGGTGGAGGGTCGTGTGGGATGGTGGAGGGTCGTGTGGGGTGGTGGAGGGTCGTGTGGGGTGGTGGAGGGTCGTGTGGGGTGGTGGAGGGTCGTGTGGGATGGTGGAGGGTAAGGGATAAGGAGGGCGGTTAGGTCAGGACCTTAACGGTCGTCACGGTGGGTGACGTGTCCAAACACTCGCGAGAGTTTTCATATTATGAAACGAAATGTTGTAAATATAAAAAAAATGTCGTAAATATGCAGCAAGGAAATAAGACATGTCAATGCATTAATATTATTACGGGTTTAAAAACTAAAAAATTGATGGAAATATTTCTGAATTCAGATGTTATAATGTTGAGGAATAGTTTGAGATTTCGAACACCGCCACTATCCCAAGAGGTCACTTCAGTCTGTCATTAGGCCTTGTCCTGTGAACACTGGTCACTGCTGCTACACCCCACTACACTACACCATGCTACTACACCACACCACTAC